CCCACCCCTCAGCTGACATTGGAAACCTCCTCCAGCTGCCTGGCCTAATTGCTCTAGATCCTAGGCACAAACGTCCTCCTTAGCCAGGCCAGATGGCCATTGTCCCAAGGACACCAGACTCTGCTCCATTTGCTCATACCACCTCCCTCTCCTGGGCTGCTCTGTCTTCCCCCTGCTCATCTGAATCCAATCATTTTGGGTTCCAGCATGTTCACTGCTTACTTAGCTGTGTGACCAGGGCGAATTGCTACCCTCTCTGAGCCTGTTTCTTCCTCTGTAAAACAGGGTTGGGGAAGGTGTGATTTATCTCCCAGGGTAGGTGTGAGAATTAAATAAAATCATTTATTTGTGATAACAATCCTGGAACTTAGTAAGTACTTGATACCTATTTGTTATTATTATGAATATCAGATGGTTCCTTAGTCTTGCTGAGCAGGCTTTCTGGGGCTACATAAAGGAAAGAACATGTGTGAAAAGACCTTAGCTCGAGTAACAACTCTACTTCCACCCCAAGGGGCAACTTGAGCAAGCCACTTAACCCAGAGAAGTCTCCTTGGAGCCTCAGTTTCCTCTTCTGAAAAATGGGTACAGTAACTTGTGCTCCTGAGGCTAGTATGGTATTCCCATCGGCTGGTGGGTGGAAAATGTTTCTTGAAGGCCAGCACTGTGCAGCTGATGGTCTGAGTAGGAGAGAGGCCTTAGGGACCAGATTTTTTTAAGGACTGGTCAGAGGAAAAAGCTGATGGTATCTCCTGTCCTGTCAGGCCTCTACAGGCTCAAAGCCACTGTCCTTGAGAAGAAAGAACATGCCACTTGCTGCCAAGTGATGGTCCTGGGCTGTGGGGTTTCTCTGCTGCTTGGACCACTGTAGTGTGTGGTTAATGATGGTCCAGGGACATTTCCTGGGGCCTCTGCAGTCCATGCCTTTTGACCTCGAGGTCTCAGAGAGGCTTAAATGGACGGAGAACCCACCTAGAGACCAGATGGGCTGCCTGCCTTTTGTTTCTATAAAACAGTGTCTTGGGATCTAGAAAAGAGCTCTGACCTGTAAAGTAGTGAACTCCAGGAGACTGGATTTGTTTTGCTGGGTCTGTCACCTCTCCTGAGGATAAAGGATGGGTAGAGGGATTGCCTCACTTCCCAGAGGGGGGAAAAGGTGTTGCCATGTCCCCTTCTGGGTCTCTCTCTGACCTCAAGGCTTCTTATTCCTGCCAGCCCTTGTCTCCGGGAGATGGAGGGAGGCCCAGAAGACAGGACCCTCTGCTTACGGTAAAGTGGGAGGCCCTGGAGGTGGCCCTCAGTCCACCCTTTAGGGTGTAAAAACCTCGTAAGTCAGGCCACGCCTTCTGCCTAATAACACCCGGCCCCACCCCTTAGCCCCAGCTTCACTGCCATCACCGCCCTATGAACAGCATACCACCCTCCCCCCCAGACCCACCCAATGAGTCGCAGGCCCTGCCCTCATCCAGTCCCAGAACCTGGCACTCAGTGCAGGATTTCCGCCTTCCCATAGGCTTGCCTCTGTCGGCCCGGTACCAGAGCCGCTGAGAGCCCACTTGGCGCCTCCTAGAGCACCCTCTCCACTCACCAGTGGCGCTGAAAATGGCCTACATGGCCCTACTTGGCTTAAGAGTCGGGCTGAGCCCTCCTGCCGTGTGCTAGTGCCCGCCCATCCACAATTTCTGCCTGTGGCTGGTCTCCTGAAATCATCCTGGGCATCTCAAATATAAGGTGCAGGTTCCTGTGGGCACTCAAAACTGCTGCCCACACCTTGGCACTGTGCCTGCTCTGCCCCTCTGCTATAGACCCACATTCCATGGCCAGTAGGAGTGGCCCCATCTGTGTCTGATTAGATTCCTCTCTCCCTAGCTCCCCCCCCCACACACACATATACACTTCCTACACCCCGCTCCGCCTTTTACCTCCTGACCCCACTGTGGGAATTCCTACATTACACATGGCAGGAGCCTTCTAGTTTTGACAGGCTGCACTGTGACCAGTCAGATGACAGGGTAACACTTTGATTTTGATTCCTTCTCATCGCTCTTCCTCTTCAATGTCCTTCCCCCCGCCGCCGATAGAGAATTATGTTTCCAGTGACCCCTCCACTCACAGGGCTAATTGTTTCCATGCAGCCCTCTGAGTTCTAAGAACAGGAAAGAGGAGTGTAAAATGTAAAACTAAATTTACTCCTGACAGAGCCCATGGAAGGAGTTTGATGTGACAATGGTCAGCTTTGTTAGTGGACGTATGGACAGAAGCACAATTCAGGGGCTGGCTGTTGCTCCCTGTAGGGGACAGTCGCCATCATCGGGGCATTTCTGTGCATGTACACAGCCAACGGAGGTAACTGAAGTAGGGGGTGGTGCTCCAGCCAAATGTAACCACGTCCCTGCTCTGCCGATTAGGAAAGCGCCAGAGAACCAGGTAAAGCCCTTCTTCCTTCATTCCGAGGAACTGGTGACAGGATTCCTTCTTCCCACCTTTCCTACCCTCTGTCTTGCTCCGGCCTGGACATGGTCATCCAGGCTAAGGAGGGCCACTTCCAGTTCCCCCCTTCTTCTAGCTGGGCATCAGCTCCCTCAGGGAGGAAAGAGTAAACAGAGGCCTCGACAAGGGTTCATGAGGCTTTGAGAGCCAGACCTGCTAAGCCAGTGTGGCCAGCCCGGAGCCAGGTGACCCAGCCTGTACTGCCTGCCCAGGGAGCGACACAAGCTGGGTCAGTTTCACTTGGTGAGTCTTCTCCTGCCCTGGGCACACAAGGGAGAGCCTGTTTGGATAGCACACAGTCCTTGCCCTCCTGGGAAGATGTGGGCACAGAAGACTGTCCCCCATATTGGAAACGGGCACAAGCAAAGTTAAAGAATCTCAGAGAAAAAGAGTGAGCACATCTGCTGAGCAACCAGGAAGGCTTCCCAGAGGATGAGCCTTGGAATTGAGCCTTGTGATGGGTGATTACGACAAGCAGAGAAGAGGTAGTGCAGGAACAGTCTGAGTGAAAGCCGTGGGAGGGGGGCAAGTGAGAGGTGGGCTGAAAGAGAGGGCTGGGGCAGGATTGCACTTGGCCTGGATTAGTCCAGGCTCTGCCAGTGTTTGCTGGGTCACCTGAGACAAGCCATGTCTCCCCTCTGTTTTCCCCATCTGTCAAATGCGAGAGTTGGCCTAGAATCAGTGATTTTTCAGCTTTTTCAGACCCATCACCTACTTCTCTTAACAAAGAACTTGTAATGTCTGCGAGATAGAATGACCTTTTAACAATTTCAAGCATATACATATACATACACATACCTATGTATATACTCTGACTATAATATACAGGCAAAGCAGAGGAAATTATTTATAGTAAAATACTGTGTATGCGCACTCACACCCACACTAGAAGACATAATGAATAGGCAAGTAAAAGCCCATGCTGTCTCAAATGCAGCCTGAAACAGGTAGGTTATATCAGTCAGTGGCGTTGTTCTTAGAGATGTAGTTTCCAAAAACGTTAACAATTCTCAGTGAAGTTTCAAACAAGACAAATTCAGTCGTCCCTCAGCTTACATGGTAGTTGCCTTCCAAAATACTCAGTATATATTAAAACTGTACAAAAAGTATTTTGTGCTCAAACATAAAATGGAGCTAAGTTCTATTTTCAGGTCATTATAAAATAGATTTTTTTTTAATCCATGTGAATACCTGGTGGAACATTTGAAAATTACTGCCGGGCGGAGGGGGACGGGGGGCATGTGACTGCCCTGTGCATTTCATTCAGGGCATTTAGCATCCCTCCATCCCATGTAACACCCCCACAAATTTCCAAATCACCCCTAGGGAGCTATCCAGCCTCTGGATAATCATTAAGCTCCCTCCCAGCTCTGAAATTCCCTAATTCTGGACCTCATTTTAGTTTATTCAACAAACTTTTGTGGGAGTGCCCACTGCATGCAGCCATCCACACTGAACAAGCAGCCATAGCTCCTGCTCCCCTGCTGCTAACTTTAAATCTGGAAGGACCTTGGCCATCACCCTTCCATTTCACAAAAAGGAGGCTGAGGCCTAGAGAAAGCAGGCTTGTGTATTCAGCACCTCACAGCCTCCTGGGGACCAACCAGAGCCCAGGCCTCAGGGAGGCACCGCAGAATGGGTCCACAGTCTTCTGTCCACTCACTTTCTCTCCCTCCTCCATCCCCTGCAGTGCCAGCCGCCCTGACCCTGGACCCAGGCACGGCCCACCAGCGCTTGATCCTGTCTGATGACTGCACCATCGTGGCCTACGGCAACCTGCACCCACAGCCGCTGCAGGATTCGCCGAAGCGCTTCGACGTGGAGGTGTCGGTGCTGGGCTCCGAGGCCTTCAGCGGTGGCGTCCACTACTGGGAGGTGGTGGTGGCGGAGAAGACCCAGTGGGTGATCGGGCTGGCACACGAGGCCGCAAGCCGCAAGGGCAGTATCCAGATCCAGCCCAGCCGCGGCTTCTACTGCATCGTCATGCACGATGGCAACCAGTACAGCGCCTGCACCGAGCCCTGGACACGGCTAAACGTCCGCGACAAGCTTGACAAGGTGGGCGTCTTCCTGGACTACGACCAAGGCCTGCTCATCTTCTACAACGCCGACGACATGTCGTGGCTCTACACGTTCCGCGAGAAGTTTCCCGGCAAGCTCTGCTCCTACTTCAGCCCGGGGCAGAGCCACGCCAATGGCAAGAACGTGCAGCCGCTACGGATCAACACCGTCCGCATCTAATGCAGCGGAGGGAGACGGGCGCCTGGACCCTGACCCCCAGGAGACGCCCAGCTCGGCCGCCCTGAGCTCTCACTCAGGCCAGTTGTGTGCCCTTCGGCCTCCCTTTCCTTGTCTGTAAAATGGAGGCTATGCTCCATGATTCCTAAACGCTCTTCCAGCATTGATGTTCCGTAGCTCTGACCTTGCTGGGGATCCAGCTTCGGTCCAAGGATATGACATGTCTTCTCCTCAGGGCAGCCCCTGCCCAACCCTCATCCCCATCCTCCCAGGGGCAGGGGACTGTCTCCCTATGTCTCCCTCCTGCCCACATGCCCTGACATCATGCTGTGTCAGAGTGTTGTTGTTACCAGCAGTTGGCAGCCCGAAAGCCACACAGAACCCTCTTCTGCTCCCAGGCCTAAGACTTGCCCCTGACCAAGCTAATGTCCGGCCTCAGCCCACAGTGGACACAGGCAGCAGCTGGTCCTAGGGTGGCCTGAGAACACCCTCTCCTTCCACCTCCGGGCCAAGAGCTTTATGGTTCCTGCTTTCCCCACCTATCTGCAGGTAGAGATGATGCTGTGGCCTGTGGAAGGACCCCAGTAGTTGAGCCCACACGTTGCAGTCAACTGTGTCACCACTTTCTTACCCACAGGTCTAAAGATAGGACGATGGCACATCCCAGAGCTGATGCAGAGCCCAGTAGCCTAAAGGCAGCTGTAGGACAAGCATCATTGGATGAAGGAGATCCCGAGCAGCTTGGATAAGGGTCCAACCAGGCCTCTGTGACCAGGCTAGGGTGTGGGGAGGCCGCGGGGAGCAGTTGTGTTAGTCAGGACCTGAGGACTGGGATGGGCTGTTGGCTGGGACCTCTCATCAGGCTTGAAATCTATCTCTGTTAAGATCCTGTTGGAGAAAACAAGAGCTTCTTTAGCTAGCTTAATTAGATAGGATTTATGAACAGGTCCCTGATGGCTTTGCAAAATGAAGAGCTGGAGGAGCAGACTTTTTGCTGAATTTCCAGGAACAGCTCCCAGATGCCAGATTCATCATGTCTCTCCTGACCAGGAACACTGCTCCCATGTGCAGCAAGCCCCTGCTTCAGGAAGCCGCGGACTGCTACTCTCTGTGCCAGCAAATGGATGTCCTGAGGCCTGTCTCTTTCTCGCTCAATTCAGTTCCTAAATCCGAATCTCTATGAGGGATTCTTTTTGAGGAAATGTAAATCAGATCCAGAACCCTGGCTGCAAGGGGGTCTGGGAAATGTAGTTTTCTTCTTTCCAGCCTCAGCCATACAAAGAGGCCCAGCAGAAGGAAGTTAGAATGGATGCCGAACAAGCCCATCCACGGTGTTTGCCAATGGAGTCTACCTCCAGGCCTTGGCTTTGAAGCAGCAAAGCCTCTAGATGTCCTGCTCTGTGGCTCTGTCCCTGCCCAGGGGCAGGAGCCTGAGGGACGGGCCGGCAGGACCGAGCTGAAATGTCTCTCCAGCCTTGGCTTTTCTTTCTAGTCCTGGGGCCTAGATTCTGAACTTGGAGCCTCTGACCACACCCATCCCAAAGGCGTCAGAACTAACTGAACTTGGGGGGCTCCCACCTCACAACTGCTGCCCACCGGGGCCTCGCTTGGGCGGGAGGACTCCTCCGTCACACCCCACCCCTTCATCTACCAGAATCTGGGCCACCTCCAGCAGTATTTTTATTTTAAATGTTGCCCATTTTGTGAGTTATGATGAATTTGTATTAAATTAAAGTTACAGGATATCAGTGGCCAGTTTCATTCATTTTGACAAACGAAAAGGCCCACCTATTCTATCTCAGGCAGGTACATACATTATCATGGCTTGTTCACAAAACACCCTACTGGGTAGATAGTATTATGTCTATTTTACAGAAGTGGAAAAGTGAGGTTCAGAAAGAGGACATGACTTGCCTACAGTCCCATGTCTCACACTGATAAGTGATGGAGCTTGGATTAGAACTGAGTTCTAAAGCCAGCACTCACATTACTAGCCAGGAAGACTGGCAGTCTGCCTGGAAGAAGGGGCGGTGGTAGCCTTGGGAGCAGAGGGGAGCTTGTGAGACTGGCAAGAACCTGGTCTCTGAAATCCCACAGACCTGGGCTTGAATGCAGGCCCTATCACTGTGTGACTTTAGAGAAATGACTTAACCTCTCTGGGCTCAGTTTTCCCACATGGAAAATAGGGATAATAACCCAATCTCACATGATTTATCAGTAAGCTGCAAAGTGCAATGCACTTAGGAAGGCCCTGCCTCTCACTCCAGCTGCCTCCCAGAGCCAGTGCCTGGAACTGTGTGAGTTTTCTGAACTTCTGCATTTGCTCTGATCCTAAGGAGTCTATTTTCCTCCTTGTGCCTTATGTGGGGTATGGGGTCACCTAAGCTAGAAGGGTCCTCAGGTCTGCTGTGTAGAAGCAGATCCATTCTGCCTCTGACTGACGGGGAAGCAGACTGGCCAGGAGTCAGGCAGAGCCCTGCGTGTGGACACACGGGCTGTGCACACTGTAGGCGGGAAGGGCCCCTGCAGTTGTGCAGTGAAGCAGCGTGGGAAACAGGAGTCCTGGGCCTACCCTTCGTTCTGTACTGACTCACTTCACACCCTGAAGGTCCTTTCCTCAATCTCCTTACCTGCAGAGTGAGAGAGGTTAGCCTGGATGCTCTGTGAGGCACCAGGTAGATCTTCACCTATACCTGGAGGTAGGGAGAGAAGAAAGGGAACCACCCCAGTCATTAACTTGTTTGGGATTCTAGAAAGAGGGGCATGAACAAGGATTGGGAGGGACTGTGGGCAGACGCAGAAAGATCTATGATTGGCTGATGGAGAGCACCCCAGTTTACAGAGAAGTTGAGAAGGTGATTCTAAGGGTAGAGTATCCCCAACTTCCCCCACCCTGCCCTGGGCTCTCAGAACTCTGTGATTCCCCCCAAAAAAGAGCCACAGCCCTCCATCTTTGCTAAGTGGATCTGTCCTCTGGGGGAAAAGCACCCCCTCCACAGTCCTTCCTGCTCTTTCCCCCACTCAGCCTCGGCACTAGGTCCGAGAAATGCCAGCCACTTCCCAGGCTCCACTCCCAGTTTCCGGGTGTCTGGGAGTAAATGTGTGGGGGCCTAATTTGCACACCCAACTAGGGACTCTGGGAAGTCAGGGCACCTCCAAGAGGTATGAAGTATCCAGAGAATTCCTGAATGAAAGCACCTGAGGTAGTCAGGCTGATACCAGCAACCCCACATTTAACATAGATAAGCAGAGGAGAGGCAAAGGCAGCCCAGCCTAGGGGAGGAAGGGGAGGAATCAGCGAAGATCTCACCCAGGGCAGGAAAGAAATGATAAAATAACAGTAACCCCGTTCAGATCCCGTTTGTGGTCAGCAGGCAAAGTACTGGTATTTTTTGTACCTTATCTAACATGGAGACAAGCCCATAAGGTTGGTATCATTATCTCAGTGTTTGAGTGGAGAAACATTACTTCCCAGGGGACCCACAGCCAGTATACAGCAGATCTGGAAATCAAACCCAGGTTCATCCAAAGATAAAGGGAAATTCTTCAGGGGCCGGCTGAATGGCTCAGTTGGTTAAGAGCGGGAGCTCTGAGCAACAGGGTTGTCAGTTCAATTCCCACATGGGCCAGTGAGCTGCACACAAGCTGAGCTGCCGCTGAGCTGCCAACAGGTGGCAGGATGGCTCAGCTGGTGAGAGCACGTGCTCCTAACAACAAGGTTGCCGGTTCGACTCCTGCATGGGATGGTGGGCTATGCCCACCGCAACTAAGATTGAACACGGCACCTTGAGCTGAGTGGCCACGAGTTACCGATGGGTGGCCGGATGGTGACTGGACTTGGAGCTGAGCTAGCTGCGCCCTCCACTAAGATTGAAGGACAACAACTTGTCTGTTCCCCTTGCCCAATTCCCCAAGAAAAAAATCTTTGAAAACAAAAAAATTCTTCACTGGACCTCCAGGACATGCTTCTCAACTTTGAGGACCCCTTCAGTGATAGGGAGCAGCTCCCAGAACTGTGATCCCCCATTCAAAGTGGGAGCTTAACCCAGGCTTTACACCATTGTGGAACTGTGGAATTGTGAGTCAAGACTCAGCAGCGAGCCAAACCTCATGTGTCTCCCGGGGTCAAGGGTGGATTCATGAAGGCTTTATGTGAAGCTGAGCAAGTCCCTCTCTCTCCCTGGGCCTCAGTTTTCCCATCTCTTTTGGGGAGGGGCTAGGAATCTAGTTGATTGATAGCCAAGGTCCTGGCTCTGATGAATTCTGTTAAATCTAATGTTGTTCTCAGGGCTTGGCCTGCTCAGCACCTAATAAAGCCATTAGCTTTAGATTCTTCTCTCTGAGGTGGCAGCAGGAACAGAAAACAACAAAGATAAGGTCTCTTGGCAGCATAGAGCTCCGTTCAGGGGCTCTAGGGACCAGCCTTCCCTCCTGCCAGAGAGGCCATCCTGGGAGGCTGACTGGCAGCGTTCCCAGCTTCCTCCCTTCCTACCTGGGTACTGGCTCTGTTCACCATCCCCAAACACTCCACCAGGAGGTCAGTTGCAAAGGGCCACGTCACAGGCTTAAATGCAGGGGTCCAGGAGAGGTGGGGGCTGGAGGGGGTTGGTGCTGGCCAAGGTGCTGAATCAACATTACCCACCTGGGCTCGGTTATTTCTCCTTATTCTGGGACACCCATGATTCTCCCCAGTCTCACTGAGAATCCTGAACCACAAAAGGGAAGAGGGATTGATGAGAAGCAGAGCAGAAACAAGAGGGAGGGGATTCAGTCAAAAGGCACAGCCTCCAAACAATAGCAGGAGAGGGAAAAATACTTTTATTTTGAAATGTGCCCATGTTCCTGCTTTTCCTTTTATCTGGATAGAATTTTGTGTTTCTTTTAATCCTGATAAAGAATAGAAGAGTCTTCTATCTTCTTTCAAAATTTTTACGGTCCTATTATATTTCTGACTATTACAAAATGACCCCCACCCACCCTAGGAATTAGATGAAGTGGGGGAAGAGCTGACACTTTGGAACAGAGGCCCAGGGGCTCCCCGCTCTAATGTCACAACAAGGGAGGGTCTTTCAAAAGGCTGAAGCCAGAGGCACAAAGCCCAGGTCCTGATGAGCTCCCCAAAACTGTGGGCCTGGATGTGATCAAGTCTGAAAGCTAGAGGAGCCTGGGGAATGCTCCAACCCAGTCCTGAGACCCAGAGAAGGTTGGTTTCCAGCTCAAGGTCATATAGCACATGGTAGCGCCAAGACCAGAGCCCAGATATCCTGGTTCCCAGTCAGCACACAGGGGAGTGAGAATAGCCGGCTGAGAAGGCTCCAGCCCAGGCAAGGAAAAGGAGCACAGAGGGCTGGCTGGAAGAGGACAAGAGCAGGGCTGAGGAGGGAGGTGCTCAGGGAGAAGGACACCCAGGCCTAAGAAGGTCAGCGTGGGATAGGGGTGCCCTCAGAGTCAGGGGCTGCAGCTCCTTGAAGGGAGAACAGAGGTGAAGGAGTGGGGAAGTTCTCTCTGGAGTGGAGACAGCCCAGCCGAGCATGCTGGTTGGCATCTCGGACGCCAGGATGGCTGCTGAGAGATCACTGATCTCAGCCCTTCATTTTACAGATAAGGCAGCTGTGCTCCAAATGGGAAGGTACCAGCCTGTGGGGCATAGCCAGGCCCAACCCAGGTCTCCTGACTCACAGGCATCTGCTCTTTTCACTGCTCTTTTCCCTTGTGGATTCTGGTGTCTCCTCCCACCCCCTGGGAACCTGGAGCCTGAGCAGGAGAAAGGGAGTGGCTAGGTCCCCCAGAGCACCAGGCACCGAGAGCTGGGTGCCTTCTTCCATCCATCTCCCCAAAGAGAAGGGGGAATTGGCCTGGACCCCAACGGCGCCTGCCCACACCTGGTACCTTCCTTGCTGGCAAGAGAGTCCAGAGCTGGCACCAGCCACAGTGGGGACAAAGCCACCCGGCAGCTACTGAAGCCACAGGGAGCTGAAGGTAAGTGAGGGCAACAGGAATGATGGCCCAAAGAGGTCCCCTGGTTCCGTGGCAATAGACAGCTTGGTGACCTGGTTTGGGGGTTTTGAAATCTCTTTTTCTCAGAGAAGGGGATTTTGCCCCCTCACTCCCTGTAGGCTGAGCCCCTGGGCGTGCTTCCTCTGCTCACTGCAAACCCCAGGCCGAAGCCCCTCCCTGACCATACTGCCAGATCTACAAACCAGGAACGCGGTCCTGGGTCCCAGCAGCTCTCTTCCTGCCACTGGGATAAGGGAGATGCAGGTAAGGGCTCCCGGAGGTCCCAGAAAAAGCAGAGACTGGCTAGAGGTGTGTACATCTCACAGGAGTGGGGCTGTGGGTCGAGACCTGAACGAACCTTCTTAAACCTGTGTGGGCCCTGGCTCCATCCCTGACTCACTGATGACCTTAGACAGCTCCCTTCAGCTCCACCTTATGGGTGTCTCTTCCTCGTTGGTTTTAGCAAGAGAGATGGGTGGCCCTGGGCTATGGGGTAACCTCTGGTTCTAAGGTTCTTGACTGAGGCTGCCTCTTGGAATTTGCCCAACAACACCCACCGCCTTCACCCTCCCTCTTTTTCTGTCACACTCCTGAAATGCCCTCCTCCATCCCTTCCATTCTTCCATCAAAACTTATCCTTTTGTGTTCCTCAGGGTAACTGGCTTATGATTTGAGATGCTGCCCCCTTCCCTACTTATGCACATTTATAATAAGAGCCACTCCAGAAGAGTGGCTAGTGGTGGGATTTCAGGCACCACACCAAGCAGGTGGGGGAAAGGTTGTAGCGGGGATAAGGAGGGAGAGGGGACTCCTTATGACTCCATGCAGGCAGCACAACAGCAGCTGTCACTGGGTGGGCACAGACCTGGCTAGAAATGACGGTGCCCTCCATGTGTTGAGCCAATCCAAGTTCTACTCTTGGCCCAGCCTTCAGCTCTCACTCCTCACCAACACCTGGATACAGGCCAATGGCAACACAACACAGCCTTTATGTTTCCACGGGCTTCTTGTGAAGGCGGAAAAGACTGTGCGTATAATGCTAGAATCAGGGCATTCGAGAATACAGGATCCCTCATTTGCAACGATATAGATGGACCTAGAGACTATTATGTTAAGTGAAATAAGTCAGTTGGAGAAAGACAAATACCATATGATCTCACTTATACATGGAATCTATAGAATTGAATAAATGAGCAAAGTAAACCGAAATAGTCTCAAAGATATAGAGGAAAAACTGAGGGTTGCTAGATGGGAGGGGGGTGGGGATGAGGGAGAAGGGGAAGGGATTAGACAGCATAAACTGGTAACTACAATATTGCCACAGGAATATGAAGGACAGTTTGAGGAATATAATCAATAATGATGTAAAGATTTTGTAGGGTGTCAGATGGGCACATGTCTTCTTAGGGAGACCATTTCATGGATATTGTAGATGCCTGACCACTGCACTGTACACCTGAAGTGGAATAATATTGTATGTCAAATATATATATATATATATATATATAGTCACAGGATATGGAGTATAGTATAAGGAATAGAGTCAATAGAATTGCAGTAGATATATACAGTGTCAGAGGGGCAATAGATTGGGGAAGGGGGTTATGTATTGTGAGGAGTGAAATGTACAACTATTACATTGTTCTGTACACCTGAAACTAATAAAAAAGAAAGAAAGAAAGAAAGAAAGAAAGAAAGAAGAAGGAAGGAAGGAAGGAAGGAAGGAAGGAAGGAAGGAAGGAAGGAAGGAAGGAAAGAAAGAAAGAAGAAAGAAAGGAAGAAAGAAAGAAAGAAAACAGGAAAAAAAAAGAATATAGGATCCCAAACGGAGAGTATTAAGCATATTTTTGTCCTTAACATCTCCGCTTTTGTATACCCATTCGCTGCCTAGAATGCCCATGCCCTCCTCTTTCTTCCAGTTGAAGTCGTCCTCATCCTTCACGTCCCACTCAAGGCAAAGCTGTCCCAGCCAACTCAGTGCTCTGGGCCCCTGCAGCACGCTGGGTCTCCCGCTACCACTAGACCATGAGAATTCTGAAGCAGGGATCATGGCTCCCAGCTCTGCCCACTGGGTACAGAGAGAGTCTCAGAAAATGTCGGCTGGCTGGAGGCAGTGTCAAAGCTGGAAGCATGAAACCCCCTCATCTCCAGGTTGGGAGGGGTCTTACAGACCAGAGACAGCTCCTTCCTAAAGATGCTCAGATGGGAAGCTGAGCCCCCTGGGTGACCACCCCCAGCTATTATAGATTCTACACAGGGAGAACTAGGGAGCCAGAAAAGACTAGGAACATTATTTGTTTGCCTTTTCAAAAAAATTATAAAACAACTTAGGCTCATTGTAAAAAGTTCAAATAAATGTAAAAATACGGCAGAAAGTCCCCTCAACCAGCCCCAGATGTCAACAGCTGTTAACAGGTTTGGTGCAGGTCCTTTCAGGCATTTTTGCTTATACAGAAACAGAATTTTCTTTTAAAAAAATGTGATCATTTTTCATCTTTTTGTGTTTTCTGTGGAATAAATTCCTACAAATGGAAGTATTGATTGAAAGGCTTGTTCAGGTAAAATGTGTTGCTTTCTTATAACATGCTCATTATAGAAAATTTGGAAAATTCAGTCAAGACACACAAAGTAAACATCACCCATCAGCCACCATTCAGAGATAACCACTGATAGCGTTTTGGTGATAGGGTTCATAGTCTTTTTTCCCATATGTTTATTTACAAAAATCAGAACACAGTCTCCTATCATTCTGTAGCCTATTTTGGGTTTTTTTGGAGGGCGTTCTGCCACTTAATAACAGATCGTGCATTTTCCCCTGTTGTTAGTCTCCCACAGCATCAGTGTAATACGATAAGGGATGTTTGACCTTGGGCCCACCTGGAAGCCTGCTTTTCCTGACCCCATTCTGAGCAGGGAGCCTGCTGCAACAGTTGGCCCACCCGTTGCTCCAGGGTGTGACCTTGGTCTGCCCCCTCCGTCTCAGAAAGAGAATGCCCAGAAAGGCCTTGAGCACCTGCTACCTCCATCACTCCTGAGCTGAGGCCCCAACACCCCACTGATGGGCACACAGCCCCCCTGTAACCTCTCCGCTGATGCTCACCGGTGCAGTAAGTAGACACCTGACCCTTTCCTCTGCTACCTTTCTGGACCCTGGGCTCCTTTGATCCTGCTGCCAACCTAAGACCTAGAATGAGAGGGAGGTGGGGGATTGGGTGGCCCTGACCTTGAAGTGGTGGAGGGCTTCTGGACTCAGATTAGTGGGGCAGGCAAGTGCCACTTGCCCTTGTGCTTCAGCCAGCTTTCCCTCATACTGATGGGACTGAGGAAGGAAAGTGGGGGGGGGGCAGATATGTACCAGGAGTGGCAGGGAAGGGGCCTGAGCTACTTGAAAGTTTTCTGGTTCCCAAAGCAAATACCCAACTTCTCAGCCCAATCAGGTGCTCTGTCCCAGGAATTTACTAGTCAAATAGTGTGGAATTAAGTGTAATGTTGAGCAAGACCCTTCACTCTGGTGTGTGTCGGGGGCGGGGGAGGGTATCACAATCTCCTCACCAAAATACCACGTGGTTCTAACCTTCCCAGCTCTGGTATTGTAACCCAATTTGAACCCATGTTTTCAAATGCTCTCTTTTCTCTGAAAGTCCCTGAACACTATGATTTGTTGAATTAAATTGTGCACCATAATTCATAAATAAGGCCTTGTTTGAGGCATTATTAACGTAATTATTATTGTTCGCTATCATTTCATTTAATCCTCACAACAAGCCTGAGAAGGACGTGCCACTTTTACCCATTTTACAGATGAGAACACTTAAGCACGGAGAGTTAAGAGGAGTTTCCAATTAAGTGGTAGAGCTCAGGCTGGAACCCAGTGCTGTGACCCCCAAAGCCACGCTCCTTATTATCCTCCCATCCCCGTTCCACTCTGTGATGTGTGCAGGGTTCATTCTTCCCTTGCTACAGTTGAAGAAATGGAAGTCAGAGAAGGGAGGTGGATTCCCCAAGGTCACACAAGGTCACATGGCAGAGCACTGGCTAGTTTTCAGAGGGAAGCTGGTGAACCAGGAACAGCCCTTGGGCCGACGTCAAGTGCCCAGAACTGAACAGGGGTAGGGCGGTCAAGTGGGAAAGGCTGTGTTTGTTCAACCCAGCCTGGGTCCACCCTCCCCCAGCTCAGTCCAGTGAAGTGTTGACTTTGGGCAAGTCCCATAGGAAGAAAAGGTGACATTACCTGTAGGGTAGGGGACCCCCCCTTCTTCTCCACTCTCCTCCAAGACAGCCCTACTGTGCTCTCCACTCCCTTACTCTCTCATTCAATCACTTATCCACAAGTTCCTACTGAGTGCCTACCATCGACTAGCGCTAAGATAAGCAATGACACATGCACCCCAGGTGTCTATCAAGGAGCTGACAATACCCAGGCAATCACAGCACATGTGCTGCAGGCTAGGCGAGGACAAGAGGGGAACCACAGGAACTCAGAGAAGAGGGGCCTTCTGGAGGAGGTGCTGCCGAAGCTGAGACCTGTAGGGTGAGTAAGAACTGGGCACAGTGTTTCAGGGAGAGGGAACAGCATTTGCAAGGAATAGGAGGCCAGAAATGAAGTCATGTGGCTGAGGGTTGAATGTGAGGCAGGGAGGCAGCGTGATGAAGCTGGAAAGCAGGACCAGGTCATGCCATGCTGTGGGCCATCTGAGGGCAATGGGGAGCTATGACAAGGTTTTAGGCAGGGAAGGGGTACGGTCATTTTGGATGGGACAGAGCAAAGCTGGAGGCAGGGAGTCTAGAGAGAAGCCTGAAGGGCTGATAAGGCTAAAAGCATGGGGTGAGGTGAAAGGAGAAGTGAAAGGGCAGAAGTGAGGAGCCAGGGAAGTCTTCTAGGAGCACTGGGGGCTGTTCCAGAGCTCTGTCACTTAGCCTTGCTCCCCTGTTTCAGAGAGGACAGGCACAGCAGGCTGGCAGTTCTGTGGAACAGACTCAGAACCCCCATTTTGTTCCTAGCGCCAGAAGAACCCTTAGTATTTGATTTTTGTCATCTTCCACACCAGTTTCCCTGGGTAAACATGTTTGGTGGCAGGGGGCCCATTAGCTGTGCAGCATCCCATCCAACAACTGGGCGATAAAGATGAGGAGGTTTTTCCTTCTATGGGTCCTTTTGTGGCCCCACTGGTCCCAGCTCTGTCCTCTGGGCCTCCTGGACAATACTGGCTTCCTTACCATAGCACAGCCCTTTACAGGTTCCTCTGTAGATTCCTGCACAAAGGACACCTTCCCATTCTTCAGGTGAATAAACCGAGAGAGTAGTACTAGATTTTTCTGCTACCTATGTACCTTAGCGGACACAGGAAAAGGGGAGTCGGCTTGGGTTTGAATCTTGGCCTTGACCACTTACCAGCCGGGCGATCTTAGGCAAGACAATTTGCCTCACCAGCCTGTTTTCCCATCTAGAAGATAAAAACAATAATATATACCCTTGCAGAGTTGCTGTGAGGACCAGACGAGTCAAACTAATCATAGTACCTAATGACAGCTAGAAATTATTGAGTGACTGTCATGTGCCAGGTGTTGTCTTACTGGGCTGGGCCACATGCCTGATCAGGTGAGTGTTCAGGACATGCTTGTTGGGAAGCACGTGGACAGCGTGAAGCCTGGCAGCATGCAGACCTGGTTTCAAATCCTGCCTATGCCCCTTACTCACGTTTTAGCCTCAGACAAGCCAGCCACTGTACCTCAGCTTCTACATCTGATACACGGTAATAGCAGAGGCAGCCTGCCAAGTTGGATAAGACAAGGCATGTAAAGCACCTGGTACTATTAGTATCACTTGTCTTCCATGTACCAAGCACCTTCTAAGTGCCAAATACTGAGGGAAGGGGAGGAGAACTATTGAACACTTGCCCAAGGTCACTCAATTTTTGCCTCCAAACATGTTCTTGCCCTGCACCATGTCCCCATGCCCCCTCTAGACCTGGGACCCCCATGTTGTGTGGGCCATGGTTGCTGAGGGCAGGGGCACAACCTGCCCCAGGGAAGCAGTCCACTCCCCCTGCCCTGACACCTCTCCATTCCTTCACCAGACAGGGGTGGCTTGCAGGCTACAGTGATAATCATTCCAGTTCTGCTCTCCTTGTCCACCCTGCTGGTTGTCAGCTGCATCTTATGGAAAACATGCCGCTGGTGGTCTCGGGTCATCTACCCCACCCTGCAGTCCCCAGGTAAGCCACCCAAGGACCACAAGGACAGAGAGTTCAATTTCTGTTTTACTCTTAGTGTCCTCGTGCGCAACGCTTGGGAAAAGCCCTGTCGCATCCGTATTGCCCAAAGGTGTGACATGTAACTCTTAAGTCAAAGGAGAAACTCTCCTTACTCTCTTGAGGCAACAAGGGATGGTGTGCTGAGCTGCATAAAGCCTCGCAGAGGCTATAACCATGTTATGTGACCTCAGAGTCTTCTATTCCGTAGTCCACGTTCTGTTGGATGTTAACTCATCAACCCCTTGGGTCAAGGAAGCCCATTCTGCAGCCCCTATAACTGTGGCCCTGAGTGACTATGGACCAAGGCTACCCTTGGACACACACTGTCGTCCACACTTCCCTGGGACCACCCCCTCCAGCCTGGTGGAGCCTCCACAGGGAACCTCACTAAGAAGCAAGATATCCACCTCCAGGGACTGGATGAGAGCACTCCTGGCTTCACCCCAGCTGGGGCGTGGCTTACGAGTATCACATTACTCAGGACTTGCAGTCCTTAGAGTTTTCCACTTCTCATGCATTAAACACTCCCATTGCCTGCACTTTCCTGAGGTCATGGAGTTTCAGCTTATCACATGTTCTTGTGGGGGAACATATCCCTAAAGCCCCTGATAGGCAAAGCTTGGCTGGCATGGAAACTGCCAGGGCCCTGGACCCCTGCCCAGCCTGGAGCCCCCTTTCTCCATCATCTACTGCCTGAGCTCTGGGATTCAGACGGGCAACGAAATGAAGCAGTGAGTCTCACACAGCTAATACAAAAGCCCAGAATTTTCACCACTGCCCTAAGATCTCAGGACCTCTGCTCTGTCTGCCAGCCACAGGCTAACAACTTCTTCCACCCATCCAATGATACCGAAGTGTGTACCATGTGCCAGGCATGCCAGGTGCTGGGTTTATAACAACAAATGAGACCCATACTAGCAATCTAGTGGCTGGAACAGAACAATGACAGAGTATGAGAAGCACTTGGGTGGGGTACAGGAGTCTGTGCAGCATAAAGGAGAGTCCACTAAACAGCCAGGAGAGGATGGTTAAGGAAAGCTTCCAAGAAGTGGCTTCTAAACCGAGACCTGAAGGATGACTAGGAATTTGCTGGAAGCAAGGTGGGAGAGACAGTCCAGTCAGAGGGAACATTAAGAGCAGTGTACGGGTTGGCAAACTTCCTGGTTTTATAAAGTTTTATTGAAACACAGTCATGGTGATACATAGTGATGTCAATACATAAATACATACATTCACTTATGTATTGTCTCTGACTGCTTTCACTCTACACAGCAGAGTGAAACAGTTGTGACAGAAACGCTAGGGCTTGCAAAGCATAAAATACTACCTGGCCCTTGACAGGAAAAGTTTGCTGACTCCTAGAGGTCGAGAGCTTATGCTGCCTTTTAGGGACACAGTGGCTAGGGGGTAGGGGCAGGAAATGTGCACTAGGCAGTGCACAATGAGTCCTTCTCCCCTAGCCATAGTGGATTGATCCAGGAGTAGACACACCTGGTTTAAACTGACCTAATCAGATTCTCTCTTCCTAGTAATTTGAAGTGTGGAACGAAAGACCCAGAAATGGAGCCAAGTCACATTAGTGTCTGTGAACCTCTCCTGCTGAGCCCCCAGTCTGGTTAATCAACAATTCCTTTGATTCAGAAGACCCTTACAATCAATCCCCTGAATTTCTAATTTTCTTTTTTTTTTCAAAGTGCTAAGCAAGTACAGAGAGATGCAATATCAATAGATTCAAAGATGCAGTATTTTTTAAATTTTAGCTGAGTCATCCAGCCACCTGTTGGCAGCTCAGCAGCAGCTCAGCTCCGGCTGGGCATCGAACTGCTGTTGCTCAGAGTTCAAACTCTTGAGCGAGCTCTTAACCAACTGAGCCACTCGGCTGGCCCTAGGACTCAGTATTTTTTTAAAAAAAGATTTTTATTGGGGAATTGGGGGGATGGGAACAGCACTGGGGAATTGGGGAAGGGGGACAGACAAGTTGCTGTCGTTTTAGTCTTCAGTCTAGTTGTGGAGGACGTTGCTTCACTGGCCCAAGTTGGCACCATCATTGCGCTCTTCCCGGGCGAGGCAGATCAGTCGCCTGCTTCTGGACGGCCGCTCACGCCAGCTGCTGGCTACATACGGTAGCCCATGGCAACCCACTGCCACAGGGGCTGCAGCCTACACCATCGCCGGCGACTAGGACTCAGTATTTTTAAGATGTCAATTATCACCAATTGAATCTGTATATTCAGTGAGATCTCAATCAAAATTCCAGTAAGTTTTATTTTTGTTTTTGTAGTCTGTACCTTCTAAGGAATTAACACATACATGTTAATTGTCAAATGTATGGCTCAAGAATTATATATAGTATTTCCTTATTTCCCTTTTAACACCCGAAGGAGCAGTGCTGATGCCCCTCTTCAATTCCTGGTATTGATAATTTACACCTTCCTCTATTTTTCTTGGTTAACTTTTTTAAAGTCAGTTTCTATTACTTTCGAAAAAAGCTTTAAAATTAAGGGAATGGAGAGATGAAGTAGGCAGTGTATACAGCTTTAGTCAGCGTGGTCCAATATAAGTATAATGTGAACCATATACAGTAATACCTTGGTTTGTGAGCATAATTTGTTCTGGAAACAAACTACTCGTATTACAAGACATGGCTCGTTTACCAAGTTAAAATGTATTAGAAATGTTTGCTCATCTTGCAGAACTCTCATAAACCAAGTTAAATATATACATTAAAATCCAAGTTTGTACTGTATATAATTTTACATTTTCTAGTGACCACATTCTATACAGTAAAAAGAAATGAAATTAATTTTAATAATATATTTTACTTCACCCAACATATACAAAATATTATGATTTCAGTATGTAGTCAATATTTAAAAATTGTTAATGTGATATTGTACATGTTTGTCCTTGAACTATGTCTTTGAAATCTGGGGTGTATTTTATACTTATAGCAAGTCTTAGGTCAGACTAGCCACATTTCAAGTGCTCCATAGTCACATAAGCTGGTGACAAATATAATGGACAGCACAGGTTTAGACCCTCAGGGCTGTGGAGTCCCTGGCTAAAAAGCCATGGCTTCATTCTGGAAAAAAAGATTCAAGCCAAGAAGTAACATGATAAAAATTTTATTTTAGGAGGATCACTTTGACTTCCACTTAAAGAATGAACTGAAGGGCTGGCTGAGTGGCTCAGTTGGTTAAGAGCTCACTCAAGAGTGTGAGCTCTGAGCAACAGGGTCACCAGTTCAACTCACTGCCTGGGCTGAGCTGCCACTGAGCTGCCAACAGGTGACAGGATGGCTCAGCTAAAAAAAAAAAAAAAAAGAATTAACTGAATAGGAGTTGAGACTAGAGTTGGGAGTTCAGTTAGGAGGCATTGAAATAATAAAAATGAGAGATGATGATATGATGATGATGATGAACTTGAGCAGTGGCAGCAGGGATGCTGAGAAGCAGTTGAAGTCAAGATATGTTGAGGTGGGTCCTTCCCTGCGCCTCTGCCGTGTACCTACATGCTACTTCATGGATTGCATGTCTCATTAGCATCGTAAATCTCCACCTAGGGGTGTGTTTTTTACTATGATAATGAAGAGAAGTTAACTATAGGACAGCTCTTTTTTTTTTTTTAAAGATTTTTATTGGGTAATTGGGGGGATGGGAAATTGGGGGAAGGGGAACAGACAAGTTGCTGTCGTTTTTTGTTCTTCAATCTAGTTGTGGAGGACGCTGCTTCACTGGCCCAAGTTGGCACCATCATTGCGCTCTTCCCTGGCGAGGAAGATCAGTCGCCGGCTTCTGGACGGCCGCTCACTGCGGCTGCTGGCCGCTCACGCTGGCTGCTGGCTACATATGGTAGCCCATGGCAACCCACTGCCACAGGGACTGCAGCCTACGCCGTCGCCAGCGACTCACAGGCAGCCCAGCTCCAGGTTGAGCTGTTGTTCAGCATCTTAGCTGTAGAGGGCAGTGTCACTGGCCCTCATATGTGGGATCCGAACCGGGGCCCTCTGGCATCCCAAGCGAGTTCTTAACCATCGCGCCACGCGGTCGGCCCAGGACAGCTCTTTTAACCAATGTGCAAAGGTGAGTTTAGTAATTTTCCCTGGGCTTGCTTATCTCTCCTGCAATTTTGGTTCTATCCACTCATTTTTTCTTATTGGCCAAGGGATGTGACTCAAAGTTGTCCTCCCCAACTGCAGGTCCCGGTTATGCGACTACCCATTACACTCTTTCCCACCTGCACACTTTTTTGCATCTCCTCCCCACCGCCCCATTCCAAATGTCTTCCCCCTTTCTCTCTGGCAACCAAAGAAACAACCTGCCTCCAACTGGTTACTATCTAGGCAAATTACTTCATATTGAAGCCTGTTTCCTAACTTGTAAGTGGAAATAATTTAAATGGTTACTGTGGTTATCATGTGTCAGGTGCTGTTCTAACCTCTCTAAGGATGTTTATTTCATCCTTAGAACAATAGCATAAAGTAGGTACTATTATTGCATTTTACAGACACAGAAACTGTGGCACTGAGTCTTGCGGCAGGAAATATGGGTAGCAGCTGGAAGAACCAGGATTCCAACACAGGCAGGGACGGGTCGGAATCTGTGTCATAACATCCACTTCACAGACTTGTGTGGATTAAGTGATATAATTCGAATGAAGGTCAAGGGCAAGGCACGGCACACAGCAAGTACTCTATTTTAAAATGTCAAACACCTTTGTCTTCAAGTCAAGAACTCGTTCAAAGGCCCTGATTTCCTGCGTGAACTCATCAGGTGTGCCCTCTCCGGTGTGAAAGGGATGGGTGAGGAGGACACCGGAGACAGCCACCCTCGATCCGCACAGTCGTCGGTCCTTTACCCTAGGACGCTCTTGCTAAGTGGAAGCAAGTAGCTTGTGGGCAAGGAGACCACTTCCAGGGTTACTTTAGTCCTTTCTAGCTGTGCAGAGGGCCGGGTCGCCCCCTTTCCACGTCGCTTGCATCCCAGGCTGGCCACTTTCCCGTGAGGTCCCAGTTTTCCACAGGTGTGGAGACTGGGAGCTGCAGCTCCCTCTTTCTACCTATGGTTTCCGCGGTCGTTTCTCGCCGTTTGGTAAAATCAGACCCTTCTCCAGGCCGGCAGAGGGCGCAAGAGCTCGTGGCTCGAAACCTAGGAGTATCTCAGACACGGAAATCAAGCTACCGGAAATCCTCCGCCGTGGAGTCTGAGGGGAGTGATCCGAGGGGTTCCGGTGGTTGGAAGCCCAGTCATCGACGGTCCACGAGGCAGTGGTTAAGAGCGTGGTTTCCACTCCTGACAGTCTCGGGTGTTCAAATGAAAAAACTGAGCTCATAGAGGGAGGAGCTTGCTCATACTCCCTCAGAGCTCTTGCACACAACTCGTCCCAGCAGTGGGACGGCCCCCTGGGGAGTTTTGCTCTGCCTGAGGAGTCCCTGAGGCAAGTCTCACAGAAATATATCCCCAGTCCACCAATGGGGAAAACAAAACCGGGAGACAGACAGAGACTTGCTGGGTAGGGTTGCCAGATTTAGCAAATAAAATTCAGGATACCCAGCTAAAATTGAATTGCAGGTAAACAGCAATGGTTTAGAATAAGTGTATTCCAAATGTTGCATGAGACATAACATTTACTAAAAAATTAGCCATCGTTTATCTGAATTCAGATTTAACTAGGTGTCCTGTATTTTATCTGACAGTCCTAGACCAAAGTCACCCAGCGGAGTGGAAGAGCAGGAAGAGCTACTGAAACATCCTGTATACCTCCCCACCTGTGGCTCACCTGCACTCTTCCTAGGTGTAACCCTGAGGTGGCCTGCAGGGACTACAGCCCACTCATCAGTGGTCTGCCTTCTACAGGATCTAGGCTGCTGTTCAGGAGCTGAGGAGCAGGGGCTAGATATCCACCCCTCAGGATTCAGGGGTACCCCTCATCCTTCAAGACTAGTTTCAAAACACTAAACACTTTGTGCCAAGCACAAACCCAGGCTCCACATGACACTGGCCAGTAGGAGAAACTCCCCGTCTTTTTGGAGTTAACAGATTTGCAGGAAGACAAGTAGAAAACATTATAATACCTTGTGATCAACAGTTCTTTAATATGGGTAAATGCAAGACGCTATGAAAGCTCAGAGAAGCAATACCTAACCAAGGCGTAGAGTAAGACAAAAGGGCAAGATACCCATGCTGAGACCTGAGCAATCCATTCAACAGTTCTTTATTGAACATCTATGTGTAGGGCAGAATCTAGGCACTGGGGACACAGCAGTGAACAAAACAAATGTGTGCTCTTAAGAGCTTAATTCTAAATATTAAAATGTATGTCAGATGGTGGTCTATGGGGAGAAAAAAGTAAGGCTACTAAGGGGATTAAGGAATGTTGGGTTGTGAGTGGGGGAGTTACAGTTTGAAAGAGAGTGGTCAGAAAGGCCTCACTGCGGTGACATTTGAGCAGAGACCTGAGAGGGTGAGAGGGAGAGAGAGATCATGAGGGTGTTTGGGTTTGTAAGGAAATGTGCTTGGCGTGTTAGAGGAACAGAAAGAAGGGAGTGATGTACTAGCTCCATTGTAGCTCTCTAAGGAATTTTTAGTGACACTTTTGACAGTGTGTTTCTTGCCTTCAATATTGTCTCTAGAATATTTAATTTCTGTTAAATGTGACTCCACATAATTAGAGGGGGAGCCACTTCAAATGGTGTTCAGAAAAGGCCTCCCTCAGAAGGTGACATTTATGATGAGACTAAGCCAGCCCTGAAGAAGCTGGAAGAAGAGCTCTTTAGGCAGAGAGAATGG